GTCGTCGGCAGGGGCTCGATGGCCACTTCCGCCGCCCTCTCAGCCGCTCACGTTGCCGCCGGACGCCGCCCCGCCGCGCGCTACTAGGCCAAAAAGGACTGGCAGAGACGCGAGCGAATCAGCACTGGGTTTGCGGTCGGGCAGCCAATCCTTACGTAGTAGGGCGGAGCCTACTGGTCATGGTGGGCGGGACGGGCCGTGCTCCCTCCGGTGGAATAAAGGCAGAGCCGTAAAGTTCCCCCGCGAGTGACGTAAAAGACGGCGGTGCGACGCGCGCCTCCGCGAAGTGCGTTGTGGGTAGTAACGCACGCGCAATAAAAATGTCGCGGTCGGGGCATCTCGCTGTGGATAAAACCCGTTAGTAATTCGTTTTGTCCGAGAGCGGCGGGAGTTCCGGCTCCGTGGCTATTGGGTTGTACCGATGTTGCTGTGGGAATCCTGGTCGTCTGATTCTCGTTACCGTTATACCCTTATTACTAAGCAAAATAAATGTGCAAAGTGGGATCGGTGACGGTCCTTCGATGACCAGGGTGGTGGCCAGGGCAGGACGTGCCGGCCTCTCGCTCTAGAAATGGGCTATTTCTGGAATTGCCCATTTAATATTTTTGGATCGCAGTTGACAGTAACATAAACTATGAAAAGCGAAACCAGAGCCCAGCCGGGCCTGGTACCTCACACTTAACACTATGTGCGGCCGAGGCAGGAGGATCGCAAGTTCCAGCCCAGCCTGGACAACTTAGCAAATTAGCGAGATAAAGATAATAGATGAATACATACATACATACTAGTAATAAAGTTTTAGCCGGGGATTTAGCTCAGTGGAGCCGCTGTGTGCTTGGCGGCGCAAGGTCCTGAGTTCGATTTCCGGTACCATTAAAAAAAAGAAGAAAAAAGGGCCAAGATTTGACTCTGGTTCTGCCGCCTACATCGCAAGTGCAAGATCTCGAGTTTAATCCCCAGTACCAAAAATAAGTGAATTTTGAAAGGGATGGGGATGTAGTTCTCAATGCGTGCGTAGGCCCTGGGTTCAATCGCCAGTATGGAAAAGAAGCAGCAGAGGAAGGAAAGTGAAATCAGGACTGTCAGTTGAGGCCAGAATTCAGAACTGAAGATGTCAACAGGGTTGACTGCT